TAACAAAATATATACTACTGAAGTACAATAATAATAATAATAATAATAATAATAATAATAATAATAATAATAATAATAATGGTAATAAAAGAAACGATTTCATAGGAGTTAATGGGTTTAAAAAAAAATTAGCTAAAATGTGTTTTTAGTTAGAAGGGTTTAAAAAAAACTATTAAAAAAACCCCCAAAAAAACCCCAACCATTCTTTGTGGTCCAAGTTGTCCTTAACGACAACGCTAACATATCAGTGAAAGACACAAAATTAAATAACACTACTTCCTCTGGCATGACAGAGTGAGAACATTTTGGCCAGTCCAAGCCAGCTCATGGGGTACAAGAAATGTTAAGCCTCAGCAAAATGCTACCAATCATCCGCAGAAACATCAAAGACTGCACACACAAGCAAGTGAACAAGACAAGTCCCACGGACTTTGGCCGGTGTTATCTCCTCAGTCCTGTACATTCAACCTCATCATTCGAGCTTATAAAACTGCTGAAATTACTCAAGCGCAAATGGTCAGATGGCACTATAAAACGCACTGTCCCATATTAAAATACATACATATCTAAAAGATTAAATATGAAATAGAATTTCATTGCAGCCATATGGACCTCCCTATTAACAATGCCGTGAGATGAATGTTCAGTTCAGTGTAGATGAAAGAGAATATTATAACAGAAACGTCTTCCTTCTTTGATTCATTTACATCTCTATTTCAAGGAGAGGAAACACATGCTGTGACAACTTCCCCTTTCCGAATAGCCTGTCTGTGCCCAACAAACATTTAATCAGGTGTCTGTGTGTGTCTTGTGTGCGTGTCAAAGAAAACAAGAAGTGCTTCCTCAGCAGTTATAAGAAGAAACGAGTTAAGAAATAGCCCGAGAAAAATGCTGATGAGGAGATTATAGACGCATTCAGCAAATTGTAAAAGACTTGAGTTAAAAGTGTGACACAGAACTTAGATTTATCAAGGGCTTTGTATTTGTATCGGGAAGAAATGGATCTGTCTTGTTTTCACTTTTAAACAGCTGTTACACGAAGTTTCTCAACGCTCCGTCACGTTAGATTTTCAAAATAAAGCGAGGTAAAGTATTGATCGCGTCTGTTTGGCCCTTTACTCTGCAGTATAACGTGTGAAGAGGCTGCCGCTTGAAATGTATTTTGTTCTAACTCCAAATTATTCCTTGTGCTTGTCTCTCTGTGTGTTTCACATTGTTGCCCATAAACACTTGTACTCACCGTTTGAAATGTAACAGATCGCCGGGAAAGCAGCAGGTCAAGTTGTGGTGGAAAGCCCGGTGATTGCAACGGAAAAAAGACATGAAAAATGAAACAGAACATTACTAAGATATGTCACACGACGAGAATAACCCTTTAGAAATATTAACAACCACATATAACATCCTAATGCTGCATTAATTACAAAAAAAAACCCCGACTTAAGTTAGCTCATGCTCATATAGTGACAGTCTGTTTTTCGACACACAAACTAAACAACAGTGTAAACACAAGCGAGCACTTTACCTGAGTGTTCAGCGAGGGGACACAAACTCCCCAAACGCCAGCTGTTGGTCAGGGAGCGCTACGAAGACCAGGAATTCCCTGCGTGGGTCTCGTCCGGGTGAAAGGGATCACACACCTGTGAGCGCCAGATTTGGCAAACCTTCCCAGAGACGGAGCGAGCTGACCCCGCCCCCTCCTGCCTCTAAAAAGAAATCGGCCCCGTGGTGCTCGTAAACGGGCACGCCCACGACTCAACCAGCATAGACCCAGTGCCACCTGCTGGTCGCTTTTATTTTTGTACTTCTTCTTCTTCTTCTATTTTTTTTCAAACATCACATGACCACTAGATGGCCACGTTAGGCTGAGCTGCGCTGGCTCCTCTCGTGAATAGTCTGCAAACTTCAAAGTGGACTTTGTGTGTCCGATCCTGTAGGAACTGTTAACAATATGTAGGACTTGGAAGATGAGTGCTGTGCAACAGTCTTGAAGTACCCCTTATTTCTTTTTATTTAACAAAGAAAATAAAAATAGTCACAGGAATTTATTGAAACGGATGCAAGCATACATAGAAATGTGTATAAGGCAAAAACAGAGTCTGTGTACTTCCAATGAGCTTGAAAGTCAACGTTTTGCTATAGCTACCTTTACTCTTCAACACAGCCTGAACTCTGAACTGTTTGTTTCTTTAAGTATACTTAAGGAATTGTTCTCCAGGCTTGTTGAAGGACTGTTGGTTGACATTTGATCCCACACTGCTTCAGTAATGTTGAGGTCCGGGCTTTGGGGAGGCCAATGCATGACTGATAGTGTTCACTCATGCTTTTACTGCAGTGGCAGTGTGTTTGGGATCATCATCATGCTGAAAAAAACAAAGCCGTTGCTAATCGGACACTTGTCAGATGGTATTGCATGGTAGATTCAAAATCTGATGGCACTTTTATGAACGACATTCATAAGCCCCGGAGAACTGTTGCTCAAGATCTCTTAAAAAATACAAGAAAGCATTTTAGAAGCCTGGCTCAATAATGCGCAGCACTGTATATACAGTGAAGTGGCAGTGGTGCAATATGCATTTACAACAGTACAAGGCATGCATTTATCTCACATAAGTAACTATATTAAAAAAATATAGGGCTGGCTATAGAGTAAGACTATTGTATTTTATGTGCACAGCTTAAAGGTGTAACTATAACTGCAGTGAGGTTAAAAAGTACAATAGTACAGTAGCAGATTATGATGAAGTCATGTAGACATATTATAAACTCTATGTATAAATTGCCACAAAACAGGAGTATTGATGCACTTAGGATAACTGAATACTACCTGTTTGGGTTTTTTTTTTTTGTGCTAATCATACAAGTTGTACCTTTATGGAAAAATCTGTTTAGGTAAATGGAGAAACAGTAATAAATGCACCTGCTTGCATACAAGGGATTGTTGAATGATTAGCATCTATCTGCCAGATCTCAGCTGAACATGATTTTCAAGAGATTTTTTTTTAGCATTTTGAGGCCTTATTTGACAATACAGTAGAAGACATCGTGCGGAAATGACACACAGGAAACTATCTGATCTAGACTTGTGCTCAGACCCCTATACAGCAGCCTTTGACCTCCGGGTCACCTGCTCAACCAGGTCAGTTATTGGGCACTGACAGTTATGACAGTCACTATTATCAATAAACGCCCATTTTATTTTTCCCCTGTTTATTTTGTCACCCATTTGAGCAGATACTCAGCTGTTAACTTCCCTTTGTAATAGTGAAGACAATTATTAAGAAGACTGTTGTAAAGGTCACTTATAGGTCACTGGTCTCGGTTCAGCTGGCAGAAATAATAAAACATCAATACCACTGCAGTGTTTCCCAGTAATGAGAAGTACGGCTAAAGTCCAGGAAAACAAAAATCCATACAGTCTCCACGTTTGCCACACAATCAATCATAGTCCGACTTCCAGTTTTTTAATCCTTTTAATTTTTCTTAACGCAAGTGAAACTATTTGGAGCAAACAAGCCATTTTGCATTCGTGGCATTTAATCTAATATCACACAAAGACATCTATTAGACCCAATGGAGGTGTTACAGTCAAATTTATTAAACCATGAATGTTTCATATAAACAAGTGTGTGCACATAGGGAAGACCTTGTCCTCAAGGTCCCGATCCTAAGCCAGACATCTACCTGAGATTCAGTTCAGTTCACCTATTCACGTGGTATTCACATAACAATGCAGAGAAGCAAATCTAGACTATTTAAATATCTGTGGCATATGTTAATGCTACAGTACGACATGTTGGACAGTGGTTCATAGTGAAAGTTTTGGCAATTCTACAAGCTACAATGTTTGCCTTACTCTTATACAAAAGAAAAAAAACCCTCATCTGATCAAATTTTCTTTTCTTTCTTTTTTTTTTACAAACCATTTCTAAATCTCCTTACAAGTCTTTAGTATTGCTCTTGCTACATTGAAAAAATAGAAAAATTACATCTGAATTTTGAACTGTTGGTCTGGTGTATTTATAAAGAGTCTTGCTCTTGAGTATTCATGGCTATGTTTCAATAGTCCTTAGTTGCTTACTCTCCGTGTTTCCTTTCCTCTCTAATGGCCAGCTTCACCCATTAGCAATCACATAAGAGGGTGCGAAGCAAATAACAAGACATCAAAGAGTTTTAAGAGGCCTAGGATTCTCCAGAGGTGCTCGGTGTCACCAAATTGTCCTGTCCCTGAGCTTCTTCCTCCGCCGCTGCTGCGTCCGTTGCTACTTCCTGTTTAGGGGCCACCAAAGAAGTGTCTGCGTCGGGGGCTTCAAAGGATTCGCCCCCCAGGTCATTCAGTTTTATGTAGCCCTTGCTGTTGGAGTGCTCCAGACGGGGGTAGCTGAACCGCCTGGCTCTGTCACCTTGACGACATCCAGACACAGACAGGCTGCAGCGGCGTGCTGGCCTGGGCTGATCCGTGAGAGAGTTGAGCGACAGCCGTGAACCCATCGCCCTGGCAACGGGAGATGGCGGAAACAGCTGAGGCCTCTGCGGTTGAGGCTGAGCCTGCGGCACCCCCTGTTGGATACCTGTGTCGGTGTCCTCGTGGCTCCGGTGAGGAGGAGGAGAGTCCATGATCGAAGCCTCCTTGTGCTTACTATACATCACGTCTCTCTGGCTGCTGCTGCTGCTGGCCTGTCCCTCCTCACTTATGTTTTCAGCAGCAGCTTCTATAACAACCTCCTCCTTTGAGCATCCCTCTGCCTCTGCTTTCTCCCCCACCTCACAGTTGTTCAGTTTGATTACTGGCAGGGTAAAAGCGTTCACAGAAGAGGTGACGATGGAGGTGGTCTCCCATTGTCGGGGCTGAGGTGCCTGCTCACTGCTATTGCTGAAGTCTTTATAGATGCTATAGACAGTCTCTGTGAAGGTCTGCACATCTTTGGACAAGCTACGAGGCCTGCTGACCAATGAGGAGCGTCTGAATACCTCCTCGCCATCTACCTCACCTTTGAAAGTGATTCCAGTGGAGGGCCAGGAACTGCGAGTAAGCATCCCACTTGTTGGGAATGAACCCGATGGCCCTTCTGCACTCTTTGACTGGGTGTAATTCACCATGCCGTTCAGAGGTGAGTACTCCTTTGATCGTATGCTGTGCAGATCTATCACTGTGGAGTAGATATCCCTCAAGTTTATGATTTTAGTTTTCTTGTCTCGGTTTTCATGGAGGACGGCGTTAGCACAAATGAAGAGAAAGATACCAATTCCCATCACAAGTGGTCCGAAGACTTTCAGGTTGTCTGAATACAAATAGTTATCCAGGAAGTCACAGAAAAAGCCACAGTGACGGGACGGGCTGGAAACACTGGTGTTAGAATGACTCTGGTTGAACAGATTTGATTGGCCAGAGGAAGGCTCACCACGGGTCAGGTTGGAGGTAATCTGAGGACTTTTGGAATAGCTCATCCTGCTGGTGTGAAATCCCCCGGTTCTGCGGCGCTCCTGGTATTCCTGCTGGTTCTGGCTGGGCCAGTAGCCCAGTACAGCCATGGAAATCCCAACCATAAGAACTATAATTCCAACAGCGGCCACCAAACCAGCAGGGGAGCAGAGATTGAGTTTGCCCTTCACCACCACCACATCGTTCTTCTTCTTTTTCTTGGATTTCCTCTTCCGTTTGTTCTCCGCTCGGTTTTTCGATCGGAGCGAATCCTGGCGCCTGTTCATGCGCAGCAGGCCACCCGTGGCTATCATGGTGGCGACTACACCACAGGCTTGTCACTCAGTCTGTGAGAACACAAAAAAGAGAGAGAATATAAGCCTGAGGAGAGTCTTAGCATTTATCTAGTTTCACTCTAAAAAAATAAAAATGCTAACATGTGAAGGTTAGTTTAGAAGAAAGGTGTAAAGCATGGGGAGAAGTTAATTCTTTGGTGAGCTTTAGAGAACCTGGCAGGGGGATTTCATTACTACTGGATACAATGAAGTTGGCCGTTTCAAATCTTTTGCTCAAGCTGTGTATCTGCTGTACAGACATGATTTTTTTTTCATCAAATTCTGGTCAAGAATTTCTTTAAGGTGTAAACAAATATCAGAGGTGGAATACTAGTAAGATGTTAGCAACAAAATCTGTCCAAGGAGGACCTAAAGGAGGGCCATGGCTAATTTTCGTGGTCTGCCAGTGATCTAATCCAGCCCTGAATCTCAGATTACGCAACAGGTTTATTTAGCCTGCTTCTTTGCACTAATCCGACTAAAGGCAGAGGCAAATATTAGTCATCAGAAGGAGTCTAAATAAAAGATAGTATACATCTGCTGCTGCTGGATCTACAAATCTGAAGACGTAAGCAAAAGACAGACAAAAACCCAAGTTGACAGCGTAGAACAAGAAGTGCTTGTTATCTATATTCAGCTGTGCCGGTGCGATATCAGCCTATGAAAATGTAATGTGTCCAGACAGGAGGCCAGCAGGCATGTTCTCTCCACCTCACTCTGTTTTTCTTGCTCTCCTTCTCTTTCTCTGCTTCTCATTTCTTCCACCAATCTCTCCCATAAAACACTATCCCTTCCTGCTTTCCACCCAAATCCATTTGGTCATCAACCAGTGCAGCTGTGCTTCAACATGACTGCATCCACACACACGCCACATCACAAAGGCAAATATGAGCTATTAGCCATGTGTTTACACAGCAACACAGCCATGCAGGATGTTTAAATTTGTTTGGGGTTTTTACGATTATGCAACGCAGACCAGCCACTGCTGACTGATCGTATAACCTCTGGTTCAAAGGGCAACGAAGCCACCAACACTTATCATGATTACAGACATCTGCTGATGCGCTCCAACCACATGTGGTGAATAACAATCAGAGGATAAGAATGATTAATTAGACAGATTCTAGCCCCTGTCTGATCGTGTCTATAGCTAGATATTTAATTTTATAAATCACGCCTGACTGTGTACGACTTAGACCTTGGGTTCGTGAATAACTTATTCATGACACTCCTTCCATTTAATAAGACGTTTTCAAAAGCTGTCGTGGGACAAAATAATAATCACGATGGCCTTCGAAATCCCTTTATAATTCAAGTTGTTACATGCTGTTCCAACGAAAGTAGAGCACGGACCTCTGCACCTGAGCTTCAGCAAACATCACACAGGTACTCAGCTGCTGTTTATAGCAACTTTCAGTGTATATCACATCCAATAACCACTCAAATACGTCCTAGGCGAGAGCAACTCAACCTGCACTAAAACCGATAAGGCGTAGGCGGTACTCTCTCTATGTTTGGGGAGAGAAGGGCAGCGGTAACGTGGACCAAAAGTGGGTGTGGACAAGTCGGATTTTGTCTCTGTCTGCGGTGCTGAACAGGAAGCTGCCAACCCGTCGGTTCGCCCCCGCCCCTCCAAAAAAGAAACCCCCCCAGCTCGTCTGGCAAAACGGAGACCATGGTGGTCTTAACGCTCAGTCCGTCTGAGCTGCGGGGGCGCATTTTTCGCGCAATGTTGCGTGAGTAATCGGCTGTTGACATTAGGGCGCATCTGTTTCCCGTCTGTTGTAAAAAAACCCCGTGAAGCAAACACGAGCTGCCGTGGAGCTGGGGGTGCCGTGAAAATGCCCAGAACCACGACGCACGCTTCTCGCTCCAACACAAAGCCAAATACGGTATTGGAGGAGGAGGGGGTCTCACAAGGTGCAGACAGATGACAAACATCCATATTTCTTCCACGGCCCCGACGAAGCTCGTGGTTTCATAACTGAAACTACAATTCAGAGTTGTGTCGTAAATAAAAAAAATATAGCAAGCAATGCCTTCGGCTCTCCCTGCTTTGCCTTCACAACTTATGCGAAATCGGTATCTATTGGCAACACCACGACCATAAAAAAGTTCAGCGGCATGAGCCGATCCGCATTTGAAATGGTGCTCTATTACACGTTTTTATCTGTCGTGCATTTGAAAGAGGAGGCGTGCTATCAGGAAGACCAATCGAAATATTTATATATGTATAAAAAGCAGCATCACAAATGAAAGTAAACGGACTCGAGTGCCCAGTGCTCTGAGTCTACCGTCTTCCCGACACCAAAAACTCATGTCGACTTACTCGATTTTCACAAATACTACCAACCTAAACGAGGCGGTCGCAGAATTAAACCACTTCACAAACCTCGTTCTACCTCGACACCGGGAATCAGACCCGCTTCTTAAGCGCGAGAAATAGCCCGCCTGATAAAAACCGCAGATTAAATAAAATCGTAAATCAGCGCGTCTCTCACCAGAAATTGTAGCTTGGCAATCAAACATCTTCAAAGGCGCACTCCTCGTTCAGCTGTGCATGTCGTGGTGCGCCACTTTGGTGCCAAGGCTGGAAGAGTGGTACCCAGTTGAACGCAGATTCACAATAGACCGGCAGGGGCGGGCCAACCGCATTTCCATTGGTGGTGATTATTGAGTAACGAGAAAGGGGAGAGCTGTTATCATACTGCAAACACCTCCAGATTTTTCAGGATTTCTTACCTCTATAGAAACACAAAGATTCTGCACCATGAGACTTTCCTTGATTTATGTATTCGCACTGTTGTTTGGGGAGTTTGATGACAATTGCAACTTGTCATCCAGGCTTTTCATTTGCATGTGGTTAAACAAGCAGAAATACCATGCAGGAGTGAATTACTACAGTATGGGTTTAAAACTGCACACAGTGGAGTTGAAGTCCACATTTAAATACACCGAATGCATCATCTATCATTTGGTTTTCTGTCCTTACCTTCCCCCCAGTTGGGTTACATTGCTATAATTGCTTATATGCTGTGTCTTTGTGTTTAACAAAATTAAATATGACAGAGTCCAGATGTGTTTTAGTGATGTGAGACTGGAGACAGAGGCAGCAGCTCTACACTGGCCAGAGGAAGCACACATAGCAAAGCTCAGCTCTGATGCTCCAGAGAGTTGGCTGCAAATTTATGACCCAGAAATGTGTTTTGTTTATGGCATAAATTAGAGGAAAGGAACAGAGAAAAAACTCTAGCGTGCATGCCGCAGTCGGAGTCGAAATATACAGAGACATGGTAAATAATCCGACGGGGTTTTAAAGAGCTGTCTTTAATCCTCAGTGTTGACTGGTGCACTGTAGGTCTGTAGGTCTGGAACAGATTTCTCTATAGCTCTAAGCTTGTGCGGTAGACACAGTGACACAACAGACGTTTCAGTGTTTCTGACAGAGACTTAAAATCCTGCTACTGCAAACAAACATTCCAAAATATGATGTTCCATGAAAATAAGTCAACAGATAGTGATGCAAAAGAATCAGCACAGATTGTGTCTTAACATGATTTGTTGAATATTTGATTGAATATAAGTTGTGTGTCTGTTATTTTTAAGGGCAAGTGAAAGCATCTCTTGTCTTGATGTGGTTACACTTTTAAGTCAGTCACTTTAAGCAGCTTTTGAAAGCAGTTTGGTGCAAAAAACAAAAAAAGGAAATACTTACCTCCTGCATCTCTTAATCGTTGATGTTCTAAATATACATCTGGAAATATAATTTTTAAAGATAGCAACAGATGCAATCCAAAGCACTGCAGTCAACACACTTACTCACATCATTATCTGCACATCAATTCTCTAGTACGATCTCATTTTCAAGAGATTACGCCCCCCTTCAACAACACTTCATTCCAATCAGTAATCAGCCTGAGATCACACTCTCAGATTCACAAGTTTAGCCTGACACTTTTCTCTATTTTTTGATTGCACTGTATTTCAAAGGGTTTTTTTTTTTCTCTTCTTGCTGTTTATCAGTACAGGCGAGATAGAAAATGCAGGAAATTCAAATAAAGTTTGGGCTCACTCTGCTGTCTCAAATAAAGGATGGGATGGGATCCACTATCAGCGCCTTCAATCTATGTGTTCCACGCCAAAGATGTGTTCCACTGTAACACAAGGAAAAAGAGCAGACTGCAGACTTTTGTAGAAACTGCTACTTAATCTGCAGACTTCCCAACTTTCCCTAATGACTCTGCCCTTGCATACTTAATCATTTATTATCAAGACTTCCCCAGGTAATTAAATTCACCTACAGCACAGTGATAAATTACAGCTGGTTTTCACTACATATGGAAAGAAACGAAGGGATATGAAAAAGTAAAAAGATGGGATGGAAAGAGCGCTATAGAGCTTTCGCTATGTTTTAGTCTTCTAATACTGGGTCTTCCATCTTTGGGAGGGACATCAGCAGTAATTCAATAATTCAATTTATTCCTCAGTGATCATATCATGTCTGTCACGGTTATTTAAAACACCAGCCTCCGGTCCTGCTCGCTATGAATGATGTACCCTGCATATACAGTTCTATTCAAGCCCTAACAAATCTGCTTCTATAGAACATTCTGATCCTTATCCAAAAAAAAAAAACCAAACAAAAAAAACCCCCACATCGTCTCTCACATATCGAAGTATCTCCACAGAGCGGCTCTCATATACTGTAGTGTCAAAAATAGCTCCAGCGCTTCTGCAACTGAAACATAACCAGCTTTGTTACTGTATCTGCACAGCCACAGCACAGAAGAAGACATTCACTTTGTCCTTTGGCTCCATTTCCTCATCCAACATTCTTTTTGAGTGTAATATGCCGGTTAACAGCTAAAAGATCCGTCTGAAGCAGTTTCAGGAGCTGCGGGGCGTTCAGTTCATTTCTTTCTTAGCTCGGTCTCATGAGTTAATTGGGAATGTAGGAACTTGGAATGTGGGTGCAGCGAGAGATCAGCTGCCCCCAGGAAATGCTGCCACAATTACACCTGAAGTTAGGAGTCAGTTCAAAAGATCAGGTCATGCCACATTTCTAGCCCTTAGAGGTGATGACCAAGAGTGATGATGGTTCATCAGTTAAGCTGATTTTTTTCTGTTCTGAGCTCTCAGTGATTAAAGGATAAAGGATTTTTTTCTTCAAATCAAATCCAAGCAAAACAAAAGGCAACAATGTTTAGGGCTCACATCCCTAGCCAGTGCCCACTGGTCTGTACAAAAATATATTCAGAATAAGAACATGAATTATATTTTTTAATTCTTTGAAAAATAATCTCCTTAAACTGTTGGGCACTGACCTTTAGAAAACATTACTCATACTAAAATTAAGGGGCCTATTTTCAGCTGCAGGTGAATACACAATTGACTCTCTAAAAATAGCTACAAAAGCAGAGGGGTGAGTGGTGGACACAAAACAAATTACATTGCCCATGTTCATTATAACAAACAAACCCCCAGCAACAATGTGCTTCATATATGTTTTTAACTAGTTTAGCTACATTCGTGGAGCTCTAAGTCATTAGAATATCGCCATAGGCAATAGTTGTTAGCAGCATCTATATATTTTGTGGGTTTTGCCATTTTTTTGTTATTTCCAAGCAAATATGAAATATCCTCAGACTTATCGTTTGACTAGTTTATCTGTTAGAACTCAATGAATCCACCAAGCTCTCCAATTGCTGCAGGTATATAAACAGGGTCAAAAAGCTGAATTTCTACTCTTTACCAAAACCCATTGCAATGAAAGCTTAACTCCAGACGCATCAATCTCTTGGCCCATAGAGCCACTATGTTCATTATCTTCCACAACATGGGAATGTTGGGCCTCCTCATAAATCACACCAAAGTTTCCCAGAGTAACCATCTTCGGCACCACTACTCAGGTGCTGTGGGGAGAAGACCTCCATTTGATGAATGACCATTTGGGTCCATGTGCAGATTGTGGTTGTGGCTAATGAGATGCATGACAGCGCTAAGACTGATACAGGTCATGGAGACATATGGGCATTTCGGGTCCGTCCGGTTCTATGTTCAGCAGCCATGCGTCACTGACATCATGCAGCACGCTGGAAATGGAGCAAGACGCCCAGTCATCGCAGGAAGAGAGACCAATAAATTGATGAGGAAGTATCAGGAGAGGGTGTGAATAGAGAGCAGCAGGTGAATGCTTGCTCCCAGCAGGTAGCTGGTTCCCACTGGTGGCCCTGTTTCACTTCCACATAGTGTAAATGGCTGATTAATAGGCGAGCAAGGACCCAGGACTCGGATAGAGGCCAATATTAGCTCACATATCATCAGCTTGTAACACTAATGGGAATTCATGGGTAAAATATGGACCCAGTGTCTTTTGCAAGATAAAACAGACCCAGATACAAAACGCGGACAACTTTTAAGTTTGAACTGAGTTGTACCAAAGTTTTTCAAAAAGTAAACGCATATATTGAGCCCTAGTTTATGCACAACTTTCTCTGAATATGATTATCAGTTGGGCAACAAAACAGAATTTTGCTGAGTATGCATTACCTAAAGAAAAGGCAGTAATTGCAATCCTGAACATCAAAAAGCTGTGCAATTCCTAAACTGCAGGATCATGAACCCTGTAGGCTGAACAACTACAAAAGAAGCTGTTTTTCCATGCAGTGTTTGCCTTCATGGCTACATTTTGCAGGGGAGCGAGGCTGTTGCGCAATCTGGACTCATTCTCGGGGCTTGTAAGACGCGAGCTTCATAAGATCAGTGAGGAAGCCTTCTTTGATCTCCCATCCTAGATAATATAGGTCATCTCTTCAGGGAGAAACAACAAAAACCAAAATGAGGCGGAAAACACCATTCAACTCACTGTGGAACACGAAGCAAGCAGCGCCTCAAATGAGGACCACAACATCGCCCGGCAGACCTATTTTTAGGGTCTTGATCTTTGGCATTTTTAACACAACAGTCCATCAGCCTGTGTGCTGACGAGAGAAAGAGGAATTTTTGAAATGTGAAATATTGCATCTGTCATTTTCTATTCTGCTGCCTGTATGTGGAGCCTGTTCAGACTGGGTATCCATGGCAACCGTTTCATAATGCCTCGCAAAACACCTTAGAAGAGGTTCCTTTTTATCTAGGCTGGAGGGCTGGGACAGAGGCAACAGAGAATCAAATGAGAGGGCAAAAGTGATAGCTGACAGACTGTACACAGCATATTCTTCAGCTGACATTTTTAGAAGTCGCCCCCTCAAAATGGGATGGGGAGATAATGAAAAGAGCTCACCCAGAGAAACCAGGGAAAAAATAGGATGACATAAGAACATTTGATATTTATTGCACTGCACAACTGTCAAAGCAACCCTCTTTCGCTTGCAGATTTAGAGCTTCTACTTCTGCAGCTTGTGCTACATGCATAGAAAGACAACCGTCAGTTCACGTGATTCAGTGAGACATGCTGGCACTGACACTCACTGTATAGGAGCATGTTCTCTGGGTCCTGGAGGACGAGTCCAGTCATGTGGAATGCAGCAGGCGTGAGCTTGATGGGAGGGCAGCATACAGCCAGCTGGGTCTTCTGCAGGGGTGAGGCAGAACCCATGCCAGGAACTGACAGGACCA